AACATCACCTCAGGTGCCTCCACTAACAATGGGTGCTTCTCCACCATTCACTGGCATAGGGTAAAGGCCTTGAGGCAGATCTCTTTCACCGGACGATTTGCTAGCACATAAGGTAATGAACAGAATCCTCTAGCCCTGGAACATCCGTTGGTGGATCCACTAGGCTTTCAGCCAAACTACACTACTAGCGTCTTTTCTCAAGGACTGGCATTCCACCCTTCCTTCTCCTTTCAGAGCCTATCCGAAAGAGAATCCAGTACTTATTGGCCGTGAATATCCGAACTGGTTGTTCGCTGTTCAAAACTAGTTATATCATCCGCAATTGACTGAATCTCGAGGCGTTCTTCGAACCAATCATAGAATTTATTGAGATAGGTCAAAATCCCCCTCTTACAGCTGAGTGTGCAGAAAAAACCTTGTGATCAAGAGCACGTCTTCTTTTCGATCATACCAGAGGGTTCCAATCTCTTCTTTTTTGCTACTTTTTTCTTTTAGCGGAACTCGAAACAAGAGCTCGCGCGCCAAAGCGCGAGAGATCTTGCGGTGAATTTTGCGCCTTCTATCAGATATGAAGGGTTGTAGCACAAAATGTACTTCTAAGATACCTAATTTCATTCTTTTTCCTAGGGAAGACTCTTAGTCAACCATCAAACACGTCAACTGATTCACAAAGCAATGTGAAGATAAGTTTGGAAACAATGAATAGTACAAGTTTCAATTTTTTTTTTTTTTTGCAATCTCTTACGAGATTAGCATTTACTTGGTATGTCTCGTTACAATCAATTCTCTTTATACGTATGTGGAGCTTGAAGAATAAGCCTTTCATGAGCATTTTTACATCATTCCTTTAGAAGTCAGTATTTTTGACCTTATCAATTTGCATAGGAGGGTTGACGAGTTGGTGGAACAATTTTTGAAATATTTTACGATTGGGAAAGGCCACACAACAAAGAATGAATTTTAAAAGATCATATTGTAAATACGGTCATCGACATATACACCCTCATCTTCAAGAGAAGCTCGTACTCTAGAAATATGTCATCTCCAAAGCAATTAAGGCTGAATAGATTCTCTGTGAAGCCTAGGCAAGCAGGGGACTATCACTCATCCGCCGTTCTGTCATGAAAATCAAAGTTAAGAGAATAACAAGAAGGTCGCTTCAAGTTGGTCAAAAAGTCTAATGTGAATGTTACATAAATCTATTTTCAGTATCCATCAATACCATCACGATAAGGCTACACAAAATTCAGGCATCAGCCCAACCAAAATCATATACCAAAAGATCGTGATTTGAGAGGTTCGGCCAAATTTTCAAGCTCTTAAAATGAACCCTAGTACGTCATCGAATATCACCTGAAAACGTTGTGGTAGCGGTTAGTTTCAAGAAGGATGGAGAAGTCTAGTTCGTGACATCAATTGACCAAGCAGTCATCGCAAAACAATGCACTTATAGGCTTGGGAAGACACCTTAGGATAGCAACTGGACTGCGAACCAGAGGGTAAAATATTTCAATCCTCTCCTATATTTTCAAAAGCAGTGAAGGTCGTGCCAAGATAAGTAGAATGGCTTAACAGGAAAGGTAGACATTAAGAAGACAAAAAAAAAAGGCCATCAAGATCAAAACCTTGAAAAAAACAGACAAAGTTGGATAAACATGACATACACCATCAATTACAGGCTCGGAAGGAGTGGAGACCGAAATGGACGTCACCAACTTACCACCATGGAAAGACCTGCAAAGTTTCTGCACCAACATACAACATTTTTCAATCACATTTTGTTTTTAATTCTTTGTTGGGAACTTTCCCTTTCTGGCCTCAACTTTGCAAAATCGGATGATCTCATCCCTAATCATCAGTTGGACGATATCTACAAAATATTGAGACAAATAAAGGGTTGAATCATGTAGAGATATGTCAAGATTCGTACTTGGGATATGGTCTCATGAGATGTTTGCTGGATTAATTACGATCCACTCTTTTTTCTTTGTTGTAGATAAAAATTTTATGCATGAGGATTCCTCAGGATTGAGGGATTTTCTTTATCTATTGCAATATTGATTTTCTTTAAAGGTATTGGATCTTCTAATGATTTTATTTCATAAATGCATGAAAGATGCAAGCCACTTGATATCCCCTCAGACGTGTGTTGATTTGTTATCATTTGAATTTCTTCCTTTAGACGACTTGCAAGTTGAGTTGGTTGGTGACAAGTTTAATAGAAAATAACTAAAAATAAAAAATTAAAAAATTAAAATTTAATAGACAAAGAATAAACTTATATGATTAAAAGTCTAATCATAATTGATTTAACCAAAAAAAAAATAAATAAATAAATTCACGACGATTGAAAAACTAGTTATAAATATAATAAATTCTTACATCTATAAGTTTTTCTTACTACGTAGTAATCAAGTTATGTCAGTTAATTGCCCATTATTAGACCAACAATCCTAGGTATGACTGTATAAATTACATTGCCTAATTGCAATATGAATTAGAAAAATCTAGTTCGGAATACTCCTATTTACGATGAACAGGTAAAATTTGATTGTATAATCGGCAAAAAATAACTACTCAACTCGTGTTTCGCATATTCAAATAAAAGTATAATTATAAATACTCTATTCAAACACACTATTGAATTAAATAAAATATCTGATATTCGATTCAACAATCATAACCATTAAATTCGGAAGTTACGCAAATAACAATAATCAATAATAATTCAGTAAATATCTAAAAATATCGTAAATCTTAACTCTAATCAATCCTTGAACTAGAAAAAAGATTATTCAATATTTGTAAAAATGAAGAAAACAAGATAATAAACATAAAGAAGATGTGAAAAGTTTATCGGTGTTGTTCGGTTAAATGACTCTTACCGGCTCCTAATCATACTGCACGTCTTGCATAAGGATGGAGAAATTTACCAAACATACGAAAACATCGATTTATCATACCGTATTGTGTCAAAAATACTGAAAATTTTGGTACAGTATAGATATCGTACCGAAGTTTTTGGTACGGTATCGGTATAAATTTTCGAAAAGTTCGATATTTCGGTATAATACCGTACCGATATTATTTTTTTAAAATAATTTAATTATTAATATAAATAATTATTGTTTTTTAAAAATCATAACAAAAAATACATAGACTATGAAAATTTATTGATTTTTTCGTAATATTTTTGTGGTGGAGAATAGTGATATTTATTAATTTTTTAATTATTCTGAAATTTAAAATTATATTTTCGGTATAATCGGTATATACTGTATCGGATATCGTACCGAAATTGAAATTTTCGATACTGTACCGATATGTAGTTTTGCCGTAACGAAAAGTTGAATACGATATCGGTATTTTCAGTAAGGTCTATCATCCAATTTTGTTTTTTTTTTTTTTTTTAAAAAAGAAAATCTTGCTTCTTTGCCTTTAAAATAACAATTTGACTTAAATTGGACTCTAATAATGTTTTTTTTTTTTTTTTTTTTTCCAATTATGTTTATTATCCATAAAAAATTTCATTCTTCATTTATCCCAATCAATACAGTAATAAATCTCAATCAGAATAATGAGAAAACTATCAAATTGAAATTGCAAGAAAGAAACAGCACTTTATACAACAAACAATTTACAACATAGCCAGGGGCGGAGCTACGTGGGATCCGGATGGTCCGCCGCCCCCCGAACCTGGTGTACATTGGTGGACCTATCTGTAGGCAGCCTAAGAAAAAAGAAGAAGAAGAAATGTTAGCCCCCAAACCCGGCGGCCCCCACTTGTGAGGAAGAACTGAAATCGAAGATGGAGATGAGGAAGAAGAAGAATGGAGAAAGAGGAGTAAGAAATAATAAGATTATTAGTCAATTGAAATTACTGCAAGCTTTGAAAATGGAAGATGTGGAGAAAGAAAGAAGATGAAGACAGAGGAAGGACAGGAGTGGCAGTGGTGAGAGAAAAGTAGTAAAGATTATATAAAATTATTTTATATTAAGCTCCCTTCGTTCCACGTAATTTAATTTGTCTCTATTTTTTATTTTCGTTCGTCCCACATAATTTGTCCCTATTTTTATTTTCGTTCGTCCCACATAATTTGTCCTTTTTATTTTTGGAAATATAATTATACACATTTTAAATTTTATAATTTTCTTATTTTTAATTAAACTATTTATTTATCTTACACTTTTTAATTACTTTCTAATTATACTTTACATAAAAAGAAGGGACTAATAATATATAGAATTAATAATAATATAATATTAATTTTGTATATTTAAGGTAATTTTGATTTTAAATTTTTTATTATTAAGAAAAAATAAAAACAATATTTTCATATTCTTTTAGTAAAAAAATGGAGACCATTTTTTTATTTATTATAAAAAAAAAAAAAATTTACCTATTCTTTTTTTAAAGTTTCGTACTCAATCAAATAGACATATATTATGATAATATTTTACATAAAAAATTTATTTTATATTTTAATGTTACATTAATAAATATTTATATTAAGAACATTCAATTGAATCTAAAATTTGAAAATTGAACCCTATAAAATTTTTTTTATATATATAACTTAAATATATTATTATACAATAATTAAAAATAATTAATAAACAATTTAAATATATATAATAAATTTATTAAGGGTTTGTTTGTTTGAAGGATTCTACCAAAATCCTACTATTCATCTAAAATTCTCCCCCCCAAAAAACATCAAATTAAATACCTATTTTTCATTTTTTATATTATACTAAAAATTAATTTTACTTTCAAAACATCACATCAACACTTATTTATATCACATCATACCACTATTCAAATTCAAAAATTTTACTATTCAAATCCCAACTCAAAATCCAAACCCCCAAACAAACACACCCTAAATTCACTCAGATATATCTATATATATTTATCTCGAGCGAGCTCCCCAATCCGCCACTGAGCACGGCACACAAAGTAGCACACATTATCGACATTCCCCCAACACCTCCGCACAAGCAAAAACACACAACACATCACACGGTATTTTCCTTAAAGAGAAGAAAACACATCCAACACAGACCCCCACCCCTCTCACCATCTCAATCTGTACGTAAATAGGTACATTATATACACACACACATATATATATATACACACACACACATTATTGGCAATCAAACAGAGAAGAAGATCGAAACTCGAACTCAGAAGTGGAAATCACTCACATGAACTCGAACCCCATGAGAAGTTTGACAGTGTCATATCTGACCCCCTTGCGACTGTGAAGAGGGACTGCTCGGATACCTTTTCTCAGCTCTATTACAGGCAGGCATGTCTGACCGGCAAAGTCATCCTTCTCGGACATGTCATACTCGTGGACTTCAATCCGGAGCAGGGCAAGTTCCGGGACATGTAATGGGAACACAAACTCTTCGTTCCAACACGGTATCCAGTTGTCCTCCAGAGTCTTTGTTTTCTTCATGACAGTGTCGGCAGGGATTCCGGCAATTCCAACCTTCATACACACAAATACAATGAATATATAGAGAAGTCATTCATTTTGCCATTTTAGTCCGTCTACAAAAGTGCGGTCCATACCATATTTAGTAAAAAAGTGCAATATTTTTCCATCTATTTACACAAATACTACTAACAGACCACATCTCTTACACTCAAGGAGAGGATTAGGGTGGATAATATTATTTTATCCGCCCTAATCCTACATTTACTTTAAAGTATTGGAGCCCGAGATAATTATGGCTCCAATACTATATAAACATTTTGTAGGATTAATAGTACAATCTCTCTCTCTATTATTATTATTTAATCTCACTTAATAAATTTCTAAAATAATTCTAACTTTTTAAATATTTAGAATCATTTTACATAAATATAGTAATATATTTTTCTTTAATATTTATTTGAATTGTATTTTTATTTTACTGACATATAATTTGATTTTCTTTTTTGAAATTTTTATGCGTAGTAATCCCTCCGTCCCAAACAAACACCCTACAATATTTAGGCTTCTCTCTTCGTCACACCACCTAATTTCTAAATTATTCTACTTAATACTACCTACTTAAAACCCCGTACCCAAATCAAATGTTGCACCTTGTTTGGAACGGAAGGAGTACAATTTAATCTAATATTTAACCAACCAAAGTAAACACCATATTTAATCTCATGATTATATAATTCATTGAAATAGTCCTATGTATAATAATACAATCATTTCGGGAGTTCAATGAGCTTATTCTTTTTTGCGAAACTTATCCAATATTCGCTAATGTGTTAAAAGTGTGGATTGACAAAAGAACATGCACGCAAATAAGATGTATGTGGCAAGAAATATTCAATAAGGAAAAAAGATGGGTGATGAATAGCTACTTACCCTGACGTAAAAATCAGGCGGAGAATAAGCATCGAAATGTGTATGTTTGAAGTCATTGTACCACCCTTCACCCATATATACGGTTACCTGTTTAGCAATAGGGGAAAAGTTGCACAAAGGTTCAAGTTGATTTGAGAAATGAAATCAAAGAGGGTATGAAGATAAGAGCGCCTTCAGCTTACCTTCAGCCTAGTTTTGATGGGCATGGGCAAATTTGGGTCGAAGACATCGTTCAGTGAATCATCACCTTTCAATAGAATATCCGGCTTTTTAACGTATCCACAACTACCATTGGCCTTGAACATGCCTTGCATCAGCCAAAGTGATCTGCCATAACCCTGTCAATAGTTTGAGACAGTGTTATGTAACTAGAGTGAACAGCCAAGGATAAATGAAGTAAAAGGTTTCGATGTTATTGTTATCCTGTTCAATTTTGAGGTTATAGTGTCAGAATCATCGAAGCAGATGATTTTTCAGAAACTCCGATGAAACATAAGCTGTGGATCAGAGATGCTTCCTTCAAATTGAGATGCACTGACCTGCATATTGAATGCAACCATTTGAGCCCCGTGTGCCCATCCAACTAGGGGATTGTAATTGGATGAGTCGAAACGTATTCCTTTTGGGTATATCCTCAGGATGTTCCTTTGTGTGAACCTGAAAGATTATTTCAGAAATTACACATAATTCTTAACATGAATCAGTAGTTCTCAAACATGTTGAACTCCCAGCACCATTGACAGGACGAAAATTGTTTCAGAACAGCAATGCTGTACAGATATATTTCTTCAGCTATTTCTGGCAGGTATATAAGCACAGAACTATTCCTGTTTCCTAATGTGATATTTTTTACGGTAGATTATCATTATGCCTTAACAGAACCCGAAAAAATAGATTTTCTTATCCAACAGTGTTGTTTACATGAGTTAGGCATGTCTCAGACCATTTTAGCCATGAATTTTGCAGAAATTATCAACATAAATTGGCAACCGATGTTATGCCTTTCACCTTCATCACATATTCAGATCGGTCAAGATTTATCTAACTCTTGTTTTGCATGCTTTCTGAAATGCAATTGTAGAAAGTAAAATAAAAATGGCCAAGCAGAAAACTAGAATGGACATTAGTAGAAAAGGTATGCTCGTCACTAATTTTATTCTGAAAGATTAAATGGCACCTGACAATATTTTTTGCATAAGCTACAATTGCCTTTTCAAGTTCTTGCTCACTCAAGCTGAGGCGTCTCACTTTATTAGGATCAACTTTCAGCCACTCCTCCATTCCACCTTTCCCCTTCCCAGCATGAATAGCAATTAGGCGCTTATATTCTGGTGCTGCATTTAGTTCTACCTTTGGATCGTCTCCATCGTCTTCATCATCCTCCTCATCTAAATCATCCCCCTAAAGGAAAATTTATGGCAACTAAGAACTACTCGGGAATTAAATGAATGTAATCAGTGTGCAAAATAAAGTAGACATAGCACCTGATCATCATCACTTCTGTTTTTAAAGCTTTTGATTTCACTCCCCCAAGCTGCTTCCTCCGAGGAATCCTTTTCTTTCTTAGAATCATTCTTCTTCACTTCAGCATCTTTGGCAGTTAAGTATTCTTTGGGCGGTTTTGTTGATATAATCACTCTCCTTTTTAGTGATTCCGGGGAGGGAAACTCTTTCAAACTTCCTGAATCAGGGGCAAACAAGACTTCTCCAAATGTTTGATGGATCATCTAGATTGTCATATAGAGATATTCTTGTAAAGCCACTGACATCAATTAAGGACCATTGTCAAGTTCATAGACTCACCTCAGCAACTTTAGTCTGGAGATCTCGAGTAAGATGATCTTCAAGTGTTATTACAACAGGATACTCTGAAGCAACAAATGCATGTTCCTTAATCGACTTCAAACACTTGATGAGTGAAACAGGAGTGGTCAGAGTCCTACACATAGGCATGCAATCAAGATCTAGAAAAAGAGAGAAAGTCGGATTCGAAAATACATATCCATGGATGGTGTGCATTTGTTCACTTTGAGCACATAGGCTACCATAATACCTCTTTAACAGATGATATAGTCTTAATACTTCCTGAATACGTTTCCACATTTTCAGCTTGTGAAAAAAATATATAGAAAAATACACACACTTGCTATACTTATATGTAGGGGTGGTAGACAAGAAAATTGTGATTTTCCCCATGTCTGTCACAAATACAGTTTCAGTTTTTATGTTTGCCCAGTCCAGCCAAGGACGTCCGATGCAAAAATTACCTCATGATATCTATGTCATGCAAATGGAAATTCATGTTTGAGATGTGGTGTAATAATCCAACAGACAATTGCCATAGAAGGAAGTGAACCTGGATCTCAGAAGTAGTGTATATGTACAGTATATTTATCTCAAATTATGCCAAAAAGTTGACTGGATGGGCTAGACTTCTGCTCTCTAATGCCATAGATTCTTGAACATAGACAATATCAATATATTTGACCTCAAAAGAGGAGATTTACGGTTTGTTCTCTTTAATTTTGTTGTTTTTCAAATGCGATCTCACAGTTTCTGTAAAACCATCACGTCTAATACATATTTTTCCATACAGAATATCACATCCCACAAATATTCCATCTGAAAAATATCAAAATTCAAATACAAAAGGCACAAAAAGAACACACCCTTAGATATAAAGTAATATATTGTTCACTTCTTTTGAAGTAGGAATGTTTAACTAAATGTAGAGGAATACCTCCCATGGAGAACATCAATGTCATCGTTTGTGGAGTTTGGCCATATATCCAATTCAATCACTCTTACCCCTTTTTGCAATGCTTCCACAATAGGAACATCGCTACAATCACTACTTAGTTGATTCCCCGTCAGGTAAGAATTATGACCCGTAAATATGAAGTAATGTGACAGAGGAGCATTCATATCATGGTGAACCTGAAAATTACAATTATCAGATTGCTGTTCATGAAGAAAATGTCCAGTAAAGAGATAACTCAGAACAAGAAACTGAGAAACTATGTCAGATGATAAATATCTTTCAATGGACTGCAATGCTGAAACATATCGAAACAACGCAATACAGATGAAGAAAAAAACCTGCCCACAATTCCATAACATCTAACAGTAGTAAAACCTTACACTGAAGTGCATTTTGACTCCAAAAATCCGTTATCATGTAAAACTATTTACTTCAATCACATTTTGGTATGTGCAAGAAACCTTACAAAAATATTTTGCCTCCATCCATCCACCAAATATATATCTGTTTTTTTTTTCCATAACAATATACATTTTCCATTTATAGCAAAAAAAATAAAACTATTACACACTCCTTAATTTATATCTCCTTAATTTATATCATTCAATGTTACAAATATGCAATTCCCAATAAAAATATATTATTTTGTCTCACAAAGCATTACGTCAAAATACTACTCAAACCAAAAATTCAAATCACCACCCTAACTTCAAATCAAAACCAAAGAAACAAATTTATCCATCTCACCCCATTAACTCACCCATATAATTAAAACCTGTGTCCAGCCGGATGGAGTTTCATTTTGTGTGATAAAGGGCAAAAACAAGAGAAGATTTTGAACAGGCATAGGAAGGTATAGTTCTTGCATCCTCAACTATTATCATGAGATGGATTTACCAAGACAAAGCTTGCAAAGCATACCAATGGACTTACATCGAAATAGAACTCAAAACTGTTGACATTAAATCCATATACTAAACTTGCTGTGTAAATCAAGCTCATCTCTAATAGGACCTGTCCACCTTCGTTCATGCTAAACAAGAAAAACTCAAAAGCACAACTCCAAGAATTTGCTAACTGTAACCTGATTTCAGTACGATCTCTTCAAACTTTCTTAACAAATTCAAGCAAAATTTTGCTAATTGCAACCTGATTTCAGTGCAATTTCTTCAAACTTTCTTAACAAATCCAAACAAAAATGTGCTAATTGCAACCTGATTTCAGTGCACTCTTTTCAAACTTTCTTAACAAATCCAAACTGAAACCAGCAACACATAACATCTGCCACTATTTTCACATACAAAACAAAAGCACCGTAAAGTGAAAGTTAAACGAAGAAGAAGAATGGAATGAAATTACCCCAAGCTTAGGATCGAGTGGCGGATTATTATCTCCGAACAAATATTTGAAGAAAGCCTCGAGACTGAACCCCCGGCGATGGAAAATGTGCTTGGAGCTATCCAAAACTGCCTGAGCCTCCTCCACCGTGGCGCTCTCCTCGTGCTGCACCTCCACCATGAACTCCCGCAGCTTCTCCGCGCTCATCACGCCGTTCTCGGAGTACTTTTTGAACATCTCCTTGACGTCCTCCGGCGCCTCCGCCGCCGCCAGGCGGAACCGGCGCCGGAAGCAGAAGCAAACGCGGTAGGTCTGCTTGGACATCGTGATGCGGAACAACAACTGCAAGCAACCGTCGTCGTCGTCAACGCAGAGATCTGATATCGTTATCCTCCTCAGCCAGGGAATCGGAGATTGCTTCGCTCGCTTTGTATGGAATCGAAGAGGATTGATGCATTGATTGCGAAACCAGTGAAAGGGATCCGTCCGTGGGCCCCACCAGCCTCGACAGCTCACCGCGGATTGGCCACGGAATTCGTGAGGCGGAGCAACCGTCGCCCTACGCCGGCTGTCCAGGTGTCGGAGATCGATGCTCCAGGAAATCTCTACCGTTGAATCAGTGCATTTTGAATATTAACGGTGAGGATTATCTTGGAGTTCCGGACCTCGGAGTGGGAGAAAATGGTATCCAACTGCTACTGGAGGCATGTCCGTCATACGTGTGACAGTGCTGATAACGCCCATAAACGTGCTCATCTTATTTGATCCTCTACTTCCTCCCTCCTGCCATAAATTATACTTATTTTTATTTTTAAATATTTAATTATAAAGTAAATATTTTATTAAATATTTTAATTTTTTATAAATATTTTAATTTTACATTATATTATTATTTTTATATTAAAAAATAAAAATAAAAATATTATTTTATTATTTTTAATTATTTATCATGTAAAAATAATATTTACTTTTTACATGGACAAAGGAAGTATATTATAATTTTTTTAAAAGTTTTTAATTTGTTAAAAAGCTTTTAATTGTTTGACCAGTAAATCTGTTAATTTTGGTGTTTGGTAAATTAATCTTTTCAATTAACTTACTGGATCCAAAAAAATTAATTTTGGAAAAGCTCTATTCCAACAGATTAACTTTTTCATTTTAATTATTTTATTATTTATTTACTTTTAAAATTAATTAATTCTTTTGTATATATAAATATATTTTTTATTACACTATTTATTAATGACTTAGATATATTTTCTTCTAATAATTTATAATTCATATTTATAAATTTAAAATAATTATTTTTTTATATGTCAATTATTTTATTCATATGTTTTTTTAATTTTTTAGAACAAAGATAATATAATATTAATATTATTAATTCATTTATTATGGTGTGCTGTTTGAGAAATTTTTTAAAAAAATCACTGTTTATCCAAAAATATTTTTCTAAAAATATCAAATTAAATATTTATGTTTTATTTTTTATATTATTCTAAAAATTAATTTAACATTTAAAATATCATATCAATACTTATTTATATTACATTATAAAATTATTTTAATTTAAAATTTTTATTATTCAAATCTCAATACAAAATCCAAACCTCCAAACAAACGCAGCCATGGTATTTTTTAATCACATAATATTTTTATTAAAAATAAATATATTTATTTAAAATTATAAATTTAATATGTAAATATATATCAATTAAAAGTTAATACTATAGTGGTGATTTTTGTTTTTTATATTTATATTATTTCTAATGAAAAAATATATAATTTTCAATAAGTTTGAATTAATTCTTTATAAAAAATTTAAAAATATAATAAAAATAAATATCTTGATAATTTTATTTTCTAATTTTTAAAATTAATAGTAATAAAATTCTAAAAAAATATGTTTACCGAAAAAACACAATTAAATAGTTTGAAAATAAAATATAAAATGTTCTTAATTGTTATTTTATATATAAACAATTAATATCAAACCGTTATTTTACCAAATACTTTAATATAAACAGTTAATCGAATTAACTAATCAGCTAACAGCTAATAGAATCAACTAATAATTAACAATTATCAACTATCAGCTAATTGTCAGACATATTCTATATATTTGGAGACGAAAGTGTTCACGTCGTCCCTCTAATTTTTTTTATTTTATTTTTTTGTGGGCCCCACTATTTTAAAATAATAATAAAAATAAATAAAGAAAAGAATGGGAAGGAGAAATAGGGAATTGCAGCTGAATTATTATTATTATTTATTAAATATATTTTTAAATTGTATATTTATATTTAATTTATAAAAATGATGTATTTATTTGTAGAATTTTGATTTTGTATTTAAATTTTGATATATTATGAGGATTAATAATTTTATGTTAAATTTAATTAAAAAAAATAAAAAAATATATATTTTTGGTGTTTATAATTAGTTGTTAGTTGATAATTTGTTTTATTAGATAGTTTAATTAGCTGAATATATTAGTTACTTGGGCTAAAATATTAGGTAAAATAATAGTTTTTTTTATATTAGTTGTTCATAAGTAAAATTGACAATTAATATTTTTTTTATGTGATATATAAATTAAAGGGTGTTTGGCAAAAATCTTTTTTAAGAGCTTTTAGCTTATTGAACAGTTTTTAAGTCAAACAGCTAATTTAGGTACTTGCTAAATTAGTTTTTTAGAATAGATTTTTTTTTACCAAAAAGCTAATTTCTGAAAAGCTAACTTAAATAGTTTTTTCAGTTAAAATTTTTTTATTCCTTATATGCTCTGAAAAATTTATTATTTATATTACACAAATAAATATATTTTGATTATTTATTAATTATATTAGAATATTTTATTATATTATAGTTTTACTTTTATAAATTTTAAATAATTAACTTTATATATAAATTATTTTAATTGTAAAATATATAAATTTATTAAAATAAGCACAAAATAGAAAATATAAATATCAATAATTTATTTTTATACTATTAAAATTACATTATATAAATTTTATACTAAAAGTAAATTAAATTTATTGAAAATTATAAATATAATGAACTAATCGATAATTAACATAATAAATATATACACGAAAAATTTATTATTTTATATTTCTTTTACATTATTTTCAATAGAAAAAACTATTTATATTTTTCAATAAAAATATATTATTTTTTAAATCTAATTATAATATAAATAAAATACTATTTTATAATACTTTTACAATTTTCAATAACTAATAACAAAAAATTTTAAACATTCTAAACTCAAAAGAACAAAATTAAATATATTAGAAAAAAATAAAATAGAAATGTCATAAATTGTCATTGTACGTATAAACAACTTATATCAAACATTTGTTTTACCAAACATTTTAATACAAGCAACGAATCGAATCAGCTAGTCAAACTAGCTAATTGAATCATCTAACAACTATCAGCTAATTGAATCAGCTAACAACTAACAACTAATTGTCAAACACACCCTTAGAAAAATTGAAAAATTGCATTGTTATTCATAACAAAAATAAAGGCTTATAAATAGGTCTAATGTATATACTCCATAAACTCAAATATAAATAAAATAAGATCAAATCTAAATCTAAACCTATTCAATTTAAAACTGAATATATAAAATATCTCAATATTTTATTTTATTTTAAAATAGTTAGTTACATTCTTTCGGTGGATAGAATTTTTAGAATTTTATTATAAATATTTATAAAATTTCAAGTAGACATCACTAATATTATATAAAAATCCGAAAAATATGTAATTATATTAGAATTTTTAAAAAATAAAGTAAAATAGTAGCAATAAGTTAATGATATTTGACATTGACTTCGACCAAACATCTTAATTTTTTAATCGACACAATTTCAATTAAATTATAATTTTAAATTTGTCTATAAAAATATGAATAGACATCACTAATACTATATAGTGACTTGTCTGTCGGGTCTAGTTTGCAGGGTATTAGGTTCGACCGGAGATTTGCTTAATGCGCACTTTCGGGTAGTGACTACGGGTTTCTACGTCATAAATATATATATATATAGTTAAATTATTCAATTCTTTTTTTTTTATTAATAAATGAATAGAATAGTTATTATGTAACTAGATGTATATATTGTGTATTTTTTTGTTGAGTAAAATAAAACAATTAAATAACACATAACATGTAGAATTTTGATTTTGATTGTACTATTCAAAAAAATAAAAATAAAAATATCAAATCAAACAACTATTTTTCATTTATTATATTACACTAAAATTTAATTTTACATTCAAAATATCACATCAATACATATTTATATCAAATCAAATAACTATTTAAATTAAAAATTTTACTTTTCAAAAAATCAAAACTCAAAACTAAAACTTCACGAGTAAACACACACGTAATTTCAGTACGATGGGTATTGTATTGATATATTTTTTTATGTGATAAAATTGTAGTATATATTATGTGAGATTTTTCAAATGTGTTCGACCATTTTAATTTTGAAATAATACATAATTTGTTGTATAGAAGTATGTTATATTCCGTTATAATTTTTAGTTATAATGCAAGAGGTGTTGAATTTTAATTTACTAACTGGCTTTGTGATGTTTGTGTTTTGTTGATTTTATTTTTATTTTTATTTTAAGATAGTCTATTTACATGAATTCAATTTACTAATAGGTATAATGTGAATAAACACATCACTACCATCAATAATTTTTTGCCAAGTTTTTTTTTTTTTTTTTTTTTCTCAATATTGATTTTTATTGTATGTGTATATAAAAGATATAAGAAAAGCGCGCGCACATATACATATATATATATATTGTGTTATACACTGTGTTTAAATTGTTGAAAAATAATATTTTGGATAATGTTTTTTTACAAAATGTTTAAAAATCACGAGAACAAAAAGTCTACTGCAAAATATAACCGTCATACAATTTTTAGTATACTATGATTTTTAGATTAGTTTGAGTCATTGTTTTAGTTGAGTCTATGAATAAATATTTTCTATAGTTTTTTTTTTTGATAAGATAGAGAAATTGAAACTGAAGAAAAATTAATTAGTCTATCAAGTTAGATTAAGAGACAAAATTAATAATGTGTTAGTTTTAGTTTTTGAGTTTGGATTTTTGAATAGTAAAAAGTTTGAATTTGAATAGTTATTGGATGTGATATAAATATATGTTGATGTGATGTTTTAAATGTAAAATAAATTTGTAGTATAATATAAAAAATGAAAAGTAATTGTTTGATTTGATATTTATGGAGGAAAAAGAGAATTTGAACAGTAAAAAGCTACGATAAAATCCACAAAAAACATATAGGGTGTGTTTGTGTGTGGATTTTAGGTTTTGGGTTTGGATTTTTTAATTGTAAAAAGCTGAATTTGAATAGTTGTTTGATGTGATATAAATAGAGGTTGATGTGATGTTTTAAATGTAAAATAAATTTGTAGTATAATATAAAAAAACTAATTGTTTGATGTGATATTTTTGGAGGAAAAAAAATCTGAATAATAAAAACCGTAAAACCCACAAAAAAACACGACCATAGGGTGTGTTTGTTTGTGACTTTGAGTTTTTGAGTTTGGATTTTTGAATAGTAAAAAGTTGAATTTGAATTGTTGTTTGATGTGATATGAATAAAGGTTGATGTGATGTTTTGAATTTAAAATAAATTTGTAGTATAATATAAAAAA